ATTGAGAAAGCCTTCTTAAGACAGAGTTGTGGGGTAGACAGGCACAAAAGTGACTGGAGGACAAAAGTCAAAAAAGGGGACCTAGATTTTAAAATAAATAGCCACCCAATTAAAAAATGAGCAAAAGATTTGAATAGACATTTCTCCAAAGAAGATATATGTATGGTCAATATACACAACATCATTAGTCATTAGGGAAATGCAAGTCAAAACCACAGTGATATACTATTTCACATCCACTAGGATGCTTATAATCAAAAAGATGAAAACAAGTGTTGGCAAGGATGTGGAGAAATTAGAAACTTCATATGTTGCTGGGAATGGTATAGCCACTTTGGAAAATGATTTAGCAGTTCCTTAAAAAGTTAAACATAGAGTTATCATATGACACAGCAATTTCACCCTTAGGTATGTACCCAAGAGAACTGAAAGCATATTTCTATGCAACAATTTGTACATGAGTGTTTATTGAAGCATTATTCATAATAGTCAAAAAGTGGAAACAACCCAAATGTCCATCATGTGATGAATGAATAAATAAAATGTGTATACAATGGCATATTATTTAACCATTAAAAGGAATAAAGTACTGATATGTGCTACAACATGGAGAAACTTTAAAAATTTTAAGCTAAGTGAAAGAAGCCAGATGCAAAAGACCGCATATTGTATCAATCTAATCATATAAAATGCCCAGAATAGGCAAACCCACAGAGACAGAAAATAGATTAATGATATCCAGTGGTTGAAGAGAGGATGTGGGAAGAAGAGAAATGGGAAGCAATGGCTAACGAGTATGGGGTTTGTTTCTGGGGGGATGAAAATGTTCTGGAACTAGAGAGTGGTGATTGATGACCAACTTTTGAATGTACTAAAAACACCTGAAATGTGTACTTTAGAAAGGATGAACTTTATAGTATGCGAATTATAGTTTAACAAAATTGATATTAAAAAACATGCAGAATGCTCAAAGAAACAGCTGGACTGTGCATGGATGCCAGGGGCAAGAATGGCTGCTGAGTTCTCTTTTGTGGGCAAAAAGAATACCCCTGGGATTCCCTTAAATTTCTTCACCTATGTTCCAGAACCTAATATTTGGGATTGGCCTATTTTTGTTCCTCGCTAGCTGTTTTGTGTTTTGGGGTTGTGCCATAAGTGAAAAGCGAAGGTTGTGGATCCTGTGTGATCCAGCCTTACTATTAATTTTTGCCACCTTATGGGGTTCTAAACAATACTGTATCTTTGAGTTATTATTTTGATATCAATTGTTTATTTTTATCTCCTTTAGGACTAACGGCTAGGTGAGCAAATAATAGCATTAATAGCTAGATGAGCAAACAAATTTATTCACCATAAATGCAATATTTATTGAGTGATTATATTATGGTCGATTTGGGGATTCAGTGGTTAACGAGACATGACATCTGGTATTAAAAGTGTCAGTGGGGGATGTATCTAAGTAAGAGGGCCATTACATTAGAGTTGGCAGGTACTCTATACGTGGAATAAAGTATAAGGTATTTGGTGCAGTGATTGCATTAGTGGCAACCATTAGACTACAGTGTGTCTGTATCCTTTTTTCTATAATATTGCATTGTCCTTTTATTCTTTATCAAGGCTGGTCTTATGACTTACTTTCACCATTAGACTATGGTGGAGGTAATGGTGTGCCAATTCTGAGTTTTGATTTCACGAGGCCTTGAACACTTTTGCTTGTTCTCCGGATCCTGTCTCTGACATGTGAAAACCCATGCTAGCCTGCTGGAGGGTGAGAAATCATATAGAGCAGAGCCAAGTCAGTCCAGTTATTCCAGCCAAGGCCCCAGACACTTGAAAGAGTCCAGCCACGATCAGCCACCAGCCAACTCATAGCTGACTGCAGATGTATAGATGAGTCCAGTTGAGATCAGCCCAGCAGAGCCATCTACCTATCTGTAAACTCTCAACCGACAGAAAATGATTGTTTATGACACGAAGTGTTGGCGGTGTTTGTTATGCAGCAATAGATAACTGATAAGATGCAATGGAACACAGGTGAGGAGGAGCTTGGGTGAGACTAAGAAGGCTTCCTAGAAGAAGTGACATTTATGCTATAGATATGAATAAGCGTTAGCTAGGGAAAAAAAGAATCTGAGTGTGTGTGTATGTTTTGGGGAGGGATTCACGGAAAAGAGAAGCAAAAAGTAAGGGTCTAAGTAGTTTAAAGAATACTATTTAAAAGCCCAGGAGGCAAGATTACTCATACGGCTGGAGTATGATGTGAGAGAGGAGGACTAAGACATTAAGCTATAGAGTTATGCAGGAACAAATCACGTAAAATATCAAACATTTATAAAGGGGTTTAGATAGTATCCTGAGGACAGTTGAGGTCAATTAAAGACGTTTAATCCCATTTTTGCTTATGTATGATCAGTCTAGCTATGGTGTGGGGACCTGGTTACATGGTTTAGAACTAGAGGTATGGAAACCATTTAGAAAAACCTTGGTAGGTAGAAGGGGATAGTGGCCTGAACTTGGGCACTAGCAAAGGGGAAGTTAACAAATCTGAGGGCTCTCACAGTGTCAGAATTGGCCCAATTTGGTGATTTCTTGGAAAAGGGTTGAGAGAGAGGGATCTATCAAGGATGATGCCAATGTTTTGGCTTGCGCAACTGAACGATGTTGTTTTATTGTTATCATTGTTATTGATATAGAAAACAAAGTAAATTGAGTGTAACTGCAAATTCAGATTGTTGCACACTGTATATGGCAGACTGTATTTTCCAAAGATGGTCATGCCTATATATTTATTCCATCCCTAATATTTTCAGTGTGACCAACACTCTTCCTAAGGTGTGGTGGCAACTATGTTTGTTCCCTCTCCTTGAATCTGGGAAGGGGCTTGTGACAGCACTGATGAATGGGGTCCAGCATAAGTGATAGTATGCAACTTAGAGGCTTGGTCATAAAAATTTTGACACAGCTCCTGCCTGACTTTCTCTCAGAAAGCTCACCCTTGAAATCCAGCCACCATATTGTGAGAAAGCTCCAGCCATGTGCAGAGGATACATGTGGGTGTTCCAGCCAGAGCCCCAACTGTCTCTCAGCTGACAAGTCATCAACCATCAGATATGTGGATAAACTAGTCTTCAGAAGATTCCAGTCTCCAGCCTTCTAATCTTCCAGCTGAGGCCCCAGACATTGTGGAGTAGAGAACATGCCATCTCTGTTTTGCCCTATCTGAATTCTTGACTCACAAAGACTATGAGAGATAAGAGATACTTCTTATTGCTTTAAGCCACTAGGTTCTGCAGTAATGTGTAATGTAGCAACAGATAGCTAATGCACTACATTTGATGTGCCTATGGGACATTCTCATAACTCACACATATATTCCTTTTTTTCAAATCAATGTTACAGATTATTTTTCATCTGTTTTATAAGAAAGCTTACATCAAGTACTCTGTCAGCTTTTGTCACTTCCACTATTTGTCATGAAACCTTTGACTGTTTTGCCTTCCTTAGCTTTGGTCAAGGAAGGAAGGAAGGGAGGAAGGGAGAAAGAAAGGGAGGATCTATAGGGAAGTAACAGGCAAATGCAATACCACTCTTGGAGAGAGGTGATGAAATGACAGAATAATGACAGCTGTACCCACTGGCACAAGCATTGCAGCATCTCAAATTCCTGCACAGGCACAGATGTGCAGGAATATAATGTGGGCATGTAATGTAATGTAGAGATGTAATGTCCACATTACATCTCTAAAGACTGGCATTATGCTTGCTCCTGCCATCTTGCCCATCAAAAGAAGGTTGGCCCTGACACCAAGAAATAACAGCTGGGTTGTGTTAAGAAATTTTTATTGTTTCCTTTGGATTTGTGATGAAAGCACATAAAATTACAAGTGGAAGAAACATCATGCCACAAAATTGCATAGAATTATTACAAAAATGTGAATTATGCATTTTAAATAATTTGAGATAGAAGAACCAAAATATGTACATTTTAAGAGCTTCAAATACTTTGTCCTATTGTTTTCTTTTGAAAAGGCAAAAGTCACAATGTCCAATCCATCACAAACAATATTTATACAGTGCACAAGCACAACATTAAATTCAAAGTAATGCAAGCAATGGCCCTTTCTTTCAGAGTTATTTAATGGCTGCTTATCTATTACAGGAGTATTAATTAATGTATGGTGATATTGAAATGTTGAAATGAAATGTTAAAAACCAAAAACATATGGCATTTCATTAGAACTTTGAAAACTGGTTTACACGGCCAAAACCACGCTATTCTCAGTAGTGTAAAGGTATCAGAGGGGCACGGTCTAATTTAATACACAGCTCTACTCTCTATTATAGGAAAATCACGGTACAGACTTTCACACATTCAACAAAGAACAAGGCAAATACATAAAGGCACAAAACTGCACATCATATAGACCCCTTGTCTTTATCTTAGTCTATTTCAAGTAATATTAATATTATTAAATGATATTATCACTGTAGTAGTTTCAATGATGCAAGATGGACAGTGTTACACACTACCCCACAACTGCAAAAAGTGTCATTGTACAGATATAAAAATGTGATTACAGTAAATGGCCAAATACAAACGTATTGTAAAATGACTAGAGTTACTAAGATAATGAAATCCAACTACCAAAACAGTTTTGTGTAAGTCAAGGTTATTCAATCTTAGTCTATTTCTGGACTAAAATGTGATATTCTGCAATCATCATCATTGTGTTTGGTTATGAATGCTATTATTAGTTCATTCTTCTGCAATTTTAGACGGTCTGTAATTTTGTTTACAAAAATGCAGCATTCGATTTTGACCATTCTTGTTTCCTTACGATTAATGCCTTTCTTTCAAAGTGCAAAAGTAGAATGATTTACAAAAGATTTCTCTTTCATTTGAAGTTAAGTTTTATTAAGTGTCTAATTAACACCCCAAATCATTCCGGTCAAAATACTATCATCATCTCCAAAGAGGATGGAATTTTTCTCCCTGTCTCAATAAGTTTTTTTTTTTTTTTTTTAAATCAAAAACTCTTTCCTAATGTTTGCACTAAGCCTTCATTTTGACTAAAACTTAATTGTGATCCTTAGTTATTGCTTAAAGTTAAATAAAATAATCTCCATAAAAATATTAAATTCTGGAAACATAGTTTTCAGGACACAACTGGTTTTTGCATTTAAAATGTTTTGCTAAGCTACAATCAGACAGGTTTCTTTTAAAGTAAAATAAACTGTGAGCATCTTTGCTTTAGGGTTTCAACTTCAATGTTCTTTGTGTTACTCTCTAAACTATATCTTCCTCTACATAATTATTCTCTCTTACTTAAGACCTTTCAGTAATGTTTTGATCAGTTTTCGCATGATATAATTTGTTTTTCTTATGCCATCTAACATAGGAACTTAACAAAAATACACAGTTCAGTGAATTAAATGTACATAGTAAATATATAATGAAAGATTTTTTTTGTTAGAATAAAATTATTGAAATCTCTCAGACTTTAAATTATGGAAGATACTAATAAATTTCCATATTTCTGTTCTATATATTTTTATATATTCTGATTATTAAAACAAGCTTAAAATCCAGTTATTGGTCCTGCAAAATATATATCAAATTCATATTCTAAGATCTAAATCTACCTCTACTTGCATCAATGACTCCATCAATTGTTTCTTAGCATATCAATATAATTTATCCACAAAATCTAGATGTTTGACCATTTTCTTCTATATCCATTTATCCGCAAATTTGGTTTTAAGTCTTGTGGATGAGTTTTGGGTCATTGTCAATTAAGAAACACACATCTACACTCGAATGAATGTGTGTGTGTGCGTGTGTGTGTGTATAGTGTATGTGTCTGTATTTATATGGGTGAATGTGTACATATATACATGAAGATAATATATATCACTTATATGTGGGTCTGTGTATTTTCTAGATAAATACTCAATCTTTATCTCTATATTAAAATAAATGAACCATAAAAAATGTCAGACAGAAAAATAACCACTGGAACCTGTTTACTCTGATTGAATCTCTGCTCAACATACATCAGCTCAACTATTTTTATTCAACTGAACAGACTCTTTGTAGTTATTTACTTACTTCAGGCCAACAATCAGTGAATACCCAGACTTTGAGTACAAATAGTCAGCTCAGATAGCCCACTGCCTGGAAGTGTGTGGCCAGCTTTCTCATGCAGTCAAATGTACAAGCCATATTGCTAAGTCTGAGAAGGGCAAGGATCAGATCAAGTGATTTTTTTTTCAAGAAAGAAAACCAGCTTATTTGAATCACTATGGTATCTGACAAAACCATGTTGGCAGCAAATACACTGATGCCTCTATGATAAATAAATTAGCAGACTGCAAGCCACCAGTGCTTGCAAAGCAAAGAATGAAATAATCTAATATGCACGTTAACTTGAAGATATGGTAGTTGAGGGGCAGGTAGGAAAAAAAATGTTCAAAGTTGGCTGTTCAATAATGTTAAGTAGTGATATGCATTTCTCAAACTATTTCTATTACTTTAAAATACTTTACACCAGAGCTTCAAATAAAAACATGAGCTTGATTTTCTTCAAAGAAGACATAGTTCTTCATTTAATGGTCCATGGAGCCTGGAAGTTGCCTGCTTTGAATTTACTACCAGAAAGAAAACAAAAATCCCACATACATGCACTCTCTACTAGTAGACCTGCAGTAGTTTCCACATCACACATGAAGCCTAGGCATGAGGACGCTGTCCTTCTGGAATTCTCCTTTTGGTATGGATTTTAGGCTAAGGGATGCTTCTCAGGAAGATGCTCTGGGCAGTGATCTTTGTAATAAGAGAAAATCTGATGGAGCTTGAGAGGCCATGAGTATTCTGAAGGCCTAACATGAACAATCACAGAGGAGTATCAAACTCTCTTCCTGGGTGGTCTCCTTCCAGCTCCTCACTGGAGGGAGGCCTGTGGTTCAGTTTTCCAGGCTCTGAGGTCAAGGAGGAAGGGGCAGAACTGTGATTACTGTCCTCACTGATCTTCCCCTTCATGGCTTCCTGCACAAACTCCAAAATCTCCAGAGGCAGTCTTTTGAACTTATCTTGGTACTCTTGCTCTAGCTCCACCTGCAGCTGGAAGACATCAAGAGAGGAGGAGGATTTAATGTCACTTAGGTTTCTATAACCACCCATGTAGGAACTTCTTGAAAGATATGTACAAAGATGGGGGAGGAATAATTTAATTTTGGCATTATCCACTGATTGCCTATAGAGAAGATGTAAAACAGAGTTTAGTTGGTCATGTCATTTGTCCGTAGCTGAAAGTCAAGTTCAGGTTATGTGTGGCAGAATCGGGCTAAAGACCTGCAATAATATAAATAAATATAGATATAATATACAGGGAGAATATGAAGGAGAGAGAGAGAGAGAGAGAGAGAGAGAGAGAGATGGGTCTTTTGAAAAAATTTATAGAAGTAACGTGATTTGAAGTTCTTAAACATAGGGGTTGGAAGCTACTGATAGCTGGGAGTGCCTAGGTCAGTCCTGAATTGAGGTGGGGAGAACGAAGAAGCTGACAGGAGTGGACCAAGGATCAAGGTGGGGCTTGGTGAAGTGTCGCTTCACACAGGGGCTGGAAAACCACATTTCTAAAGAGGAGCTGAATGCATTTTCACAAACTAAACATACTCATATAACCAACTTTAACTTCTATTTTGACTTCTTTTATCACCTCTTAATTTTGATTTTTTATTCTAATTTTTATTCATTTCATAAACTGTTTTAGCCAAGCTGTAAACTTTAAATTTATTTGTTTAATGCTCTGGAGAATTCTTGGACATTTAAAAGTCACAGAACCTTTTCTTCAAATGCAGACTTACATGGTGGCCCTACTCCTAAAGCAAGTAAAAGCTGGAGTCCTCAGAGAAGTGGGCTGAGGGTCGGGGCCGGTGGTGGATGCTGCCTCCTGGGAAGCTTTGCAGTGCTGATCCCAATCAAAACCCAGAATTTAAAATAAAATTCTCTTTACTTATTGAATGGTAAGCAAGAAGCAAATTCTTAGAAATGATGTGTGAGACTAAGTACTTTTTTTCTTCTTAGGAGCATTGAGGTAGCTTTTCTTAAGATAAGTCTTTAAAACCTTTAAATGATTTCTTTTCATGCTTCTCAAACTTTATCTTCTAGGATCTTGATTTTTGATTCTGATTCAGGAAATCTGGGTGGGGCCCAAGATCTTACATTTCTCAGGGCTCACAGGTGATGCCAAAGCTGCTGGTCCACTTTGGACACTCTGATTATCTTCCTGTCCTGGCTGTATGCTGAGCTCCCAATTCTACTTTTTGTCTTGATCCTGGCTATATGTTCTTCCTCTGGAGATTCAATGAAGTTTCTAGTGCTTGCCCTGATCCCTAGACCATCTGGGGTGAAGACAGTGCTCAAGGCATCTGCCCCTTGGAGTCTTGACCGCCTCCGCTCACCCCATTCTGGCGAGTGCCTGCAGCCTAAGAAATCCCCTAGTTCAATTCGTTTGTGCTTTTACTTCTATTCCAGAGAAATTTTGCCAAAGCTTGGTTATTTAATATAGATCCATAATCCCTTATCTGCAATTCTAAAATCCCTAAGTTCTGAAATATAGAAGATTTTTGTAAATTTTTGGCAAATTCATTGGCATTAACTAATATAAGGTTATTTATAATTCTTATTTATCCCACTTCATATCCATGAATATCCATGCATGGTACTGTAGACATTAATTTATATAATTATGAGGGTATTATAATTGTAATACCATGGGATATTGTGCCTATGGTACATATATCATGTTACCTTTCCAAAATCAGAAAAATTATAAATTCTGAAAAACAACCCCGGAGTCTCAGGTAATGGATTGTGGAACTATTTGAATGACTTTTTTTTTTTTTTTAATACATCAAAAATTCCTGATAAAAATAGCTTGGTTGGCCTAAGTATTAAAACTCATCTACTCTCTCAAAACATAAAATGCGGGTGTTAATGAATATGTTGTACTGGCACATGAACACTACTAAGCCAAGAAGGAAACACACAATGAGGGGGTATCCATGAGGCCCTGATGGAGCAAAGGCAACTTTATACACAGCCCTACCATCATCGCGGGGAGCCAGGCGAATCCCTAGGGCATCAAACACAGCAAGACAATAGCCAATTCTTTCCCAGGTGTCTCAACAATTTAGAAGGCTTTTACATGGTCATTCTTTGCACCAGTGAACTCTCAGACTGGTGTTTGATAGTTTGCAGTAACTATTATCTGGACCTCATCATCAATTTGCCTCAATTTTAATTCAGCAACATATACAGTTAAAATGTTTTGTTTCTAAAGAATATAGGGAAAGGGAGAAAAGCATGGGGCCCTGGGTTTAGGGAATATCAGATTGCAGTTTTCACTTAGGTTAGACTGGGGCACCTTCAGCTATAGATATATTGTACCTGACCTAGAAGTTAATTTCTCTTGGGTCATTGCTGGACAAGATTCCATGGTGCTTGATAATACTATTTCCTTTTATATATAAATATTATACGTATAGTATATATTTTATATATATATTTCTCACTACATATATATAGTGAGAAAACGTCGAATACGTTAACATTTTCTAATAATTTTTAATAATCTAATTTTAATCATTACAATTCTGTACCCAGTTCTGATGTGTGTTTTCCCCCAACACCACCAAACAATTCTCTGCAACTCTAGCTAGGTATCATATAACTGAACTCCATTCTGACACTGTCTACCTGGAGATAGCATCAGATCCCACAGGTTAAGGGTTCAGTCCTATAAGACAGCCCCCTAGGCCCCACCACCACTTCAAATGCCAATCAAAAGTCCAGATTGTCACCTCTGTTTTTGACTGACTGGCTATAGTTTGGAGGTTCTAATGACCACCTCCCCCCCGCGCCTGACCCAACATTGGGCTTGATTAATTTGCTAGAGTGGTTTATAGGACTCAGAGAAACACTTCACTTACTAGATCACTGATTTATCATAAAAGGGTATAAACCAGGAACGGCCAGATGGAAGAGATACATAGGACAAGGTATAGGGAAAGGGCACAGAGCTGCCAAGCCCTGTTGGGTTTTTAAGGAGGTTCCATTGCGTATCATGATCAATATAATTAATTGGTTATTGAACTCAGTCTCCAGCCTCTCACCACTCCCTGGAGGGCCAAGGGCAGAGAATGAAAGTTTCAATCCTCTAATCATACGGTTGGTTCCCATAGCAACCAGCCACCATCCTTAGGTGCTTTCCAAAAGTCACTTTATTAATATAAAAAAGACACTCTTATTGTCTCAGCACTTAGGAAATTCCAAGAATTTTAGAAGCTCTGTGCCTGGAACTGGGACTAAGACCAAATTATTCCTTATTATAAATCACAATAACAATATAATACTAAGAATTAATAATAATTATTAACCATAATTAATAATAATCACAATAACAATAATTTAATTTTAATAATTATTTTAAATAATTTTAAATAA